AAGCAGGTAGCTCCACGGTTTTGATTTGGCAGGAGTGGAAAATGGGTTTGTTCTGTGCCGTGTGAAAATCTGTGTGTTTGCAGGTGCAAGCGCTCATGGGAAATCTGCTCAGGTTGCGATCTAAAGACAGCAGCATAAAGTGTTTGGTCGTCTCTCAGTTTACACGCTTCCTCACCATCCTGGAGACTCCACTCAGGTAAACAACACTAAGATCATAGATTCAGGATTTGCAGTGATTGCTGTGGCTTTGATGGAGGACGGCAAGACAATAATGACGTAAGCAGTATGAGTGACAGATGGGATTAAGTTGGAGAGGGGCTTACATCAGGGATCAGCACTGAGCCCCATCTTGTTTGTTTGGTGATGAGCAGGTTGACAGATGAGATCAGGCGGGAGTATCCGTGGACTATGATGTTTGGACATTGTGATCTTAAGTGAGAGCAGGTAGCTGGTGGATTGAAAGTCAATGGAAGCAAAAAAGAATACATGTTCGTATTCTCGTATTAGAGGGAGGCTGGAGGAATGGTGAAGATGCAAGGAGCAGAGGTAGTAAAGATGGATGAGTTTAAATACCTGGGATCAACCCTCCACATCAACGCACTGCACATAAGAGAGTGTAAGAGTGAAAACAGTAGTGAGACATGCTTTAATGTATGGTTTGGTGACATTGGTACTAACAAAAAGCAGTAGGCTGAGCTAAAAAATGCCAAGATTTATACTGGCAGTGACCATAATGAACAAGAAATGGTTATATGAGAGCAGTTTGGAGACAAAGTTAGAGAAGTACAGTTCAGGTACTTTGGACATGTAGCTTAGTGGAGGGTTAGTGGATAAATTAAACAAAGGATGATGGATATGGAAGCAGGAAGAAAAAAGGAAGACCTGCAGAGGACATGCAGAGAGTTGGTGTGACAGAAGAGGATGCTGGGGTAGGATGAAAATGAGGCGGATGATCTGCTGTGGCGACCCCTAAAGGGAGCAGCCGAAACAAAAAGGAGTAGGAGCAGCTGTGGCTTTGATGACCAGGGAAAAAATACAGTGCAATAAATAAAATTTATGAAGGAAGCTCTAAATGTGTCTTCTATTTCAGTAAAATTCAGCTAATCATTTCAGTTACTTTTACTATTATTAATGATTGCTTTAAAGCCTATTGATTTATCTGCTACAAGACAGAAACTAGCACTGAAAACATACAGACTGTGGTGTAAATGTAATTGATTGTATTAAATATTTTATTTGATTGGTCATCATGGAAGTGTTTCCTCCTCACCAGAGAGCATGGCTTCAGTTTTGTGCGTTTGGACGGCACCATGACCCAGAAGAAAAGGACTCAAGTCATCCAGGAGTTTCAGAGCTCAGCGGCCGACAGCCCCACCATCATGCTCCTGTCACTCAAAGCCGGAGGAGTGGGGCTTAACTTGACCGCTGCCTCTCACGTTTTTCTCATGGACCCCGTAAGTACAAAGCCTGGTGGAAGCAGACATTCAACCACATAGGTTGGTGGCCAAAGACTAAGTTATGTAACAAATTGATAACATCTAGGAATCATGTTATCAAAGATTGAGATTTTCTTTGGTGTATGTAGTGGAGGTAGACTGACTGGAATAGGCGAGGAACAGGTCTCTGAACATTAATTAAAGTTTGTTCATCTTTTTTTAATCATTAAAAAAAATGAAAGGAAAAAAGAAAACAACACAAATACCATACATGGCTGTGTGACTAGGTCAGGACTTGGGCTCTTATCTCATAACTAAACTGATAGAACTGGTATGCATCAGGATCTGGCTTGCTTTACCACCTAAGGATAATGTTGAGGTAATGCTCACCGGTCATTACTTGTGCAGATGCCAACACTGTGCCACAATCATGTATATTCACACCGGATGGATGCTTGACTCACTGAAGTTTATTAATGATGAGTTCTGCTGCTTAAAATAATCATTAGTTAACTGAAATAAAGTGATGGTAGATTTTCTGCAGAACATCTGATCTTTTTCAGCTGTTGCAGCGGGGAATCCCTGTGGCTGCATTGATGTTTCACAGACTGACCTACTTGCACATTTGTACCTCCAGCCTAGCCCAGCAAGCTGCATTGGTTGCACCGATGTAGCTAGCAATGTCATGGGGGTTGCATCACAAGTCAAAATGGCATCAGAGTGCACCACTACTCAGCATTCATTACATCCCGTTAGATGTTTGTGCACAAGGATGACAAAGACGATCTCTAAGGATGAAATCTTGAAATCTATCTTGTCATAGAAGGTTTTCAGGAATAAATATTGCATATTTTCAGTTACCGTGAACTCTCTCTCTCTGTGTTTGTGTCTTAGGCATGGAACCCAGCTACTGAAGAGCAGTGCATTGACCGCTGCCACCGTTTAGGCCAGAAAAGGAAAGTTGTAGTCACTAAGGTCAGTAATTTGGCTCTCACTATTTATAGTGTTGGAAAGACATATTTTGCTTTTTTCTGATTAGTGATTTTATTTTTATTTTTTAATTTAAAAAAAGATGCTAGATTACTAGAGAACTAATCATGTGACCATGTTTGTGTTTTTTTTGCTGCAGTTCATTGTGAAGGATTCAGTGGAGGAGAATATGGTGAAGATCCAGAGGAAGAAACAGGACCTGATGGAGAAGGCATTCGGATCCACCAACACTGACAGGAAGACATCTCGCATCGATGACATCGTAGCTCTGATGGAGCTGTAGACGTCTGGTACTGGACTTGAACTGAAGCGTTAACACGAGTTACAAACAACGATTTGCATTTGAACCGTAACCATCAGTTATTGTGTATTCGTTCGTCATGGTCAGGCATAGTTTCTGTTGATGATAAATGTGCTCAACGGTTTTTAAGTCACCATTTTGATACAAAGATGCAGGACGTACCACTTGGCAAGCATTCATATTATTCAGCTGTGATGTTTAGCAACTGCTACTCTTGATTTACATGTTTTATCAAGCCAATACTGTGCTGATTACTGGAAGCGGCTGATAAAGAGATTAAGGTTAATAATTAAAGGAGGTGAAGGTTGGACAAACCTAACTACCTTGTAACAGTTTTAACTTTTCAGTTTTCCCCATGCAAAACTGAGTGTTTTGAGTTTTTTTATGACTCTAAAATTAAAGAAATGCACATGACAGATGTAGTACATCTGTATCTGCTATATATAACTGTAAATACAACAGCTTCCAGATGTTAAATGAAAACTTAAATGAAGAAAAAAGGATCTGTGACACATCTGTTGTCACACCACGTAAAAGAAAAGTAGAACAAATGATGGCAGCATGTTCAGTAAACGTCTGAACCATCTAACCAACCTCTAAAATGGATTAGTTTCCAAAATAAAATGCAGCTTTAAATAGTTTCCAAATCTCTTAGTCAATATAAAACCAGACATTTTGGCTGTTTACACTTGATTCTCCACAGCCTTGACATTTGACAGAAATCAAATAGCACAGTCGCAGCACGACATCCAATAACAAGTACAGTAAAAATTAAACAACACAAGAGGTGGATTAAAGGTGGGGTTTTTTTGTTTTTTTTATTTGAGCTTTCAGAGGGATGTACAGCTAACAGCTGGGAAACAGGACAGATGTGCACTAACTCACAACCTAGAAAGCTACATATGGACTTCTCCCATAACCTTGCCAGCTTGTTTTAGGAGTGTTTTACAGCTGTGGGTAACAGTTTTGAGGGGCACTCGGCAGGATTGAAGCAGGGTATTGGCAACAGCAAGGGACGGAGTCAACGTTCAATCTGTTGTGCCACTAGCAGCAGTTACAGTAAGTGAGGTTTTGTAAACAGTGAACAGCAATAAGGCAGCTGGTTACACTACAGAAAGGAAGTAAAGAAGTTAAACCCAGTTAATGGCACAGACGCACTGATGCAAGTTTGACAGGGACGTACATGCAGGAGACGGATGGACGGTAACAGATGTCTGACGAGTGCGCTGTGGTTCAATCCCACGAAAACACAAGACAAACCTGACTGTTAACAAGATGTGGGTGGAAGCACCTCATTACTGATCCATGTTTTAACTCTGTGCCATGCAAATACAACACAACACGTCTTGCTCTAATACGATACCAGACAACACAAAGCTGAAGTCACAGGGAGCTGGTGAGTGTCCGAGGCACAGACAGGAACGCTCATCTGTGCACTCCAGTGAGGTGAACTGTCATGTAAAGCGGGATTTTAATAACTGTCTGCATATCTGCTTTAAAGTGGTTTAGACATAGAGGTTTATTGCCAGTAGGATAGATGGAAAAATCCTGAAGCGACTGCATTTCTGCTGAGCTGCTCAGATTTTCCAAAGATCAGGAAGACTCGGAACTGTGAGTCCGTTTTCAACAGGTGCACTTAAAAGGAACAGACATTTTAGGAAGTAGCTACAGCTTTTTTCTTTCTTGTCAAGAGTTTGGTGAGAGGATTTGCTCCACACAGCTGGATAACCTCGCTTAGCATGAAGACTCGAGCTGGAGAAACAGCCAGAGCACAACTGACCAACCAGCACCTGGAGGTCCATCGATTGCAGTTCATTTTCTCATCATAAAATTCATCTGTGAACACTAAAGAAAAAATAAAAATCAGCGTTTATGTATATATGTGGCTCAAGGTGCTTGGCCAAGAAAATTGATACGTTACAGGTTATAAAACAGAACCGTTGTTTCTTTACACTTCTGCTTTTGTAGGGAGTTTCCAATCAATCGCTAGTCTTTGTTAACTTTGGACACAGACTAGCAGCTTCCACTCAATATTTGTGACCTCGATACATCACTTGGCGATTGGGTCACATAACCTTGGGCAGGGAAATAGGATGGAAAAGAAAGTTAAAATTTAATTAATTTTTTTTTTTTAATTTCAGTTGTAAAAAGCATCTCCAAAGATATTTTATACAAATTAATACATGTTCAGTCTCTACCCAGACTTTTAAAATGTTTGCTGAGGTCCACAACCTCTGTCTTTCATTGCTAATGTAAGGGATTGATTCTGTGACTCAACATAACAAATACTCCATTATACTACTATACTGTAATACTCCAGATAGACAATACAGATCTCTAGGATTCTTTAAAATATCTCTCTCTACATATTTTTTGTACCGTTAGCAATGCAACTAAATTACATCTCAGAATATACACAGCACTTAATAACGGGATAATAACGACTATTTGCAGTCTCTGTGCTAAGGGAGTTAGTTGGTCAGCTGCTGCTATAGCTTCACACTTACTATAAAACCATGTGAATCTTCTCCCCTAACTCTCAGCAAGAAAGTAATTTATCCTAAAACGTCCAATTTTTCCTTTAGAGGAAAAAAAAGTGGAAGGTGGAGTGCATGGGAATTTTGTTTTAGTCACACTTAACCCTCTGCACACTAACAGGATGCAGAGGTGGAGACCGAAATTTGCTCAGAAGCATTCATCCAGTCACCTGCCAATCAAGCCCCTGTGATTCACTGAGTGGTGGTTTACACTCCCACCTTCCACCCCCACCCAACCTCACAGAGCTTCAACTAGTGTCCGTCACGCTCCCTCGGTCGCCCACTACTTTAGGAAAGAGTTCAGTTTTTCCTCGATGTTGGCAAACGAGTCGTCACCCATGTAGTCGATCTGGCCCGCTTCCCAACGCTGCTTCCGCTCAGACGATGAAATCTTCTGAGGCACAGAAGGAGGAGAGGACACCGACTCCTCTCTTACATCCTCGTGAAGCTTACCCTGCATGACATGGAGAGTGAATGAATGAATCATCAAGTGAAACTAGAGCAATACTTTATAAGGACTGCTTTCCTCAAGCCCGGCCATGCTCCGCTGGAATTACCGCACAGAGGAATTTGCTCTTTTCTGGCCTTGAGACACGTTTGGTACGTGCAGGCATTTCTTAAGGACAGTAAAAGTATAAACAAGACATTTTGCAGGAGATAAGAGTAGCACTATTTTCTGAGATAATTTATCATAACACTATAAAAATAAACAGTTCTAGATGCTGGATGTGCACTTAATAAACTGCATCAGGTGGAAGAATCAGGTAGAATTTATAACTTAAACAAATATTTTAATACCAGAAGTTGTTTCCTGATTCACAACAGTCTCAAATCAGTTTATTCCCCTTAATTTAGTTTTTTTGTTTGTTTGTTTTTTTTACACATCATAATCCTTTTAGACTATCATACTCATAGATATACAATTATGAGTATGAAGAGAAAAATCTTCAAATATCAAACTTTAAACATGCATTCTAATCACTTTTTTAGTGAGATTTCTTGATACTGTCATTAATGCAGCTGGATCAAAAATTATGTCGAATTTCTACTCATCATTTAAAGTCTTCTATAAAAATGCCAAATAAAACAGATCCGAGTCCAGATCTAAAGAACTACACCACTATAGTCTTAAAAAGTTAGTCATAGCAAATGGAAAATTACGTTTCTCCTCCTGCTTGTCTGTATAAACATGTAAGTGTGACACAACATGGCACAGTTTCAGGCTGTTGGGCAAAGCCACAGGCTTTTGGCAGCGTTCCTTTGTGACAGAGCTATTTCACTACAGTGCTGTGACTTACAGACTGCACGACAACTTCCTGCTATTCTGTGTTAAACAGTTGAAGGTCCCAGCACGGCTCACTGATGACAGTAAGCTATTCATGCAGTTGTGGCACTGCTGAGAGGAATGACAGTAGCGACAGACATCGTCTGGTGCTGAGGAATGTGGAACCAATCAGCTCTTATTTACTATCACTATTATGACTAAACCTAGCATTTTACAGTAAACCATGCAGCTTTACAAGAAATTGAAACAATTTAAAGATTTGGTAATTGCTCAACATGACGGAATTTCACACTTAAAAGATATGTGCAATATAAAGAAGAGTTGCTATGCAATTAGAAGTTACAAAACAGTCAGGAAATGCTGATTATGCAACATGCTACAACACCTAAAATCACATACATTCATAGTCATTAATGTTTCATCACATTCCCACCAGCCACACCCGAGACCCACAAACCGTTAACATACCTCATCGCTCTGCTCTATAAAGCCGCTGAGGAAGGGAGTGTCTCCGTAGGCCTTCTGCAGTAAAGGCAGCACAGATTTGGTGTACACCTGCCACCACATCAGCAGATAGTCAGGGTGCAGCACGCAGGGGTCAAGTGAGGACTGACCTTTGACCTCGCCACTCTGAGCATCGTAGGAGTAGTTCCACGGTTTCACTTTGCCCAGGAAGTGCACCACCTTCGCACCTTGGCCGTACCTGTGCAAACAAACAGAAGACCGTGAGAGGGGGAAATGAGAGCGAGAGAAACATGCAGTGAGAGGGCTCTAAACACTTCATCCATCCATCCATTCTCTTCCACTTATTCTTGGGAGTGCTGGAGACTATCCCAGTTGGGATGGAGTGTTGTGAGAGATCAGTAGTCTAACACAGAGAGACAGACAACTGTTGACACTCACATTCACACCTATGTCCAAATTAGAATGTTGCACCAAATTTGCAACACACAAACTACAGTTTACAGCATGAGATTATTTCCTGTCAATTCTGGAAATGACCAGAATGCACAAGATTACAGATGAGTACATCAGAGGAACAGCTCGAAATTAGAGAGGCATGTGCAGATGAGGGATAGTGGCTATACTGGACAAAGGATGATGGATATGGAGCTGCAACGCAGGAGGTAAAGAGGAAAATCTAAAAAGGAGTTAATGGATGGATAGTGAAGGAGGACATGCAGAGAATTGGTGTGGGAGAAGAGGATGCTAGGGATAAGATGTGGTGAACATAGAAACTGTGGCTTTGCTGACAAAGAAGGGGGACAAGAAGAAGACATTTATTTTGAAGGGCTGAATTAAAATTATCACTGTACTTTTGTCCAGAGAATTTGTGAACTCCAGTAGGATTTTTTAAAAGTGGGAATGATCCAGTTTAGTCATACTGCAAACCAGTTTGAGTCAACCTCCATTTCCTTCTCTTTCTTTCTTTCTAACTATTTGGACATGAACACAGCTTTGCTTCTGTGTATTGCTTCAACAGTGGTTTTGAAATGAAGCAATGAAGAAGTGACTTAAGGGTGCTCTTAATTCACTTTTCTTAAATTCAAGAGAAAAAAGTCCCTAATTATTTTCACAAGTTTAAAAGTCATTAAGCAACACACTGACAGTTAGCTGTTCATGTAAACTCTCAACAGGGACCTAAAAAGTGAAAAAACATTATTGCAATCAGACCTTCTGATAGTGGAAACTCTAGAAGACGAGAAAAAAATTGACTTGGGTGAAAACAGGAGAAATAGCTGCTCTAGTTCCTCTTATTCCAGCCAGGTTTTGGTAAAACTAGCGATCTGTTTCAGTGGCTTCTTGTAATTTAACCCCCAACCACTGACACACACACACAAACACAAGACCTTTGAACTGACCTTGAGGAAGTTTTATGTCACCTTAACCACATAATGAGTGCATTGAGTATTTCCTCACATGTTCACATCCACTAGTTTCTGCAGTTTTCAAAGAGAAACTGTGCGCATGTGCTTGCATACTAACTGTTTGAAAGCCGGTAGGTAGGAGTAGATGGCAATGCTGCTGAGGTTGTAGATAAAGGGGAGGTGTTTGGAAATATCTGCCGTCGCCCAGGTATTAAAGTAACTGTTGAGAACTCCCTGATCCCCACCTGAAGACAAAGACAAGCAGACAAGCATTATCAAATACACTTCACGATATAACGCTTTTAATTTAGTGTCTTTCTAATAAAGGATAAAGATGTTATTCAGTTTCTGGCATTTTCACCTCTTCTGACCGCTCTTCTCTCACTGCTGTAATCCACACACACACACACACAACAACACACACACACACACAACACACACACACACACAACACACACACACACACACACACACACACAACACACACACACAACACACACACACACACTATACAGATACAAGAATACCCACCACCATTGCATTCTGTACATTCCCACAGGCTGTGTCCTATCTGACATGTCAAAATAGAAGCTGAAAGGGTGTGCTGACAACGCTGTGGGAAGATACAATGAGTAACAACATATGGCAAAAGCTTTTTTAGATTTCTATGATTTAGCTATTTACTGAGTCACAGAATCAATTCTGATCATAAAAGTAGCTTTGACCTTTCGTCCACTTGATTTCTTTTTGTTTTTAATTGATTTGGGAATTGCTTTGGTTGCTACCTTAGCTAAATCATTGATTTTGATATGGGACTTCCTGAAACGACATAGTAAAATAAAAGTAAAAAGGTTAACAAAAATCTCTTCGAACTTAAACTATGCTGAAAACACTTATTCTGGTGCCATTTTCCATCATGTTCATGCACTGTCCAAATAGTGGACAGTGTACGCAAACAGTTTATTCAGATACTCAAACTTGTTTATTCAAAGAAACCCTCTGCAACGAGTCATTCTGCGGACAGATAAGTCTGAGTTCCTATTACTTTCGAGAGGTGAGAGTGTTTAGTGTTCACACTAAATACCACCAGCCATTCCCACAAAAGGCTGCCTACAAGGCCACTAAGGAGACATTTGGAAACCACTTTTTACTGAAAAATATAAATATTTTTCTCCATCATGGTGCCAGGAACAGTGATCTCAACCATATAAGTTGTTAACAGCTACTCGATATATTGCAGCAGTGATTTAAACAGATATTCATGATTCCCAGAGATTTACTTCAGGAATGCCTTCCTTTTGCTTGATGAGCATATAACTACAGCAATGAGGAAATAGCTCTCGTCACCTTTACTGTTGTTATAATTTGCAGATGAGTAGGTTAAATAATGGAAATTGTAAACTTTTTATCTGCAGTTTAGCTGTTAGAGTTTAAGCACGATAAGACAAGAAGGACCACAGCTGGCCCTTACTTTTCACTGTAGACGATATTATGTTTGGATGTATTTACACAGATTCACTTGCCATCAAAGCTGCCATTTTCACCACAGAATGTGATGAGCTTCTCGTGGGTCTCATTGGATGGTCTGAAGACAAATACCCCAGAGTTGAAACAATCTGGCCAACCAGGATCTGGAGCAGCAGATAACTCCTCTCTCTCAAAGAGTTCATCTATGTTGGACAGCACCTGAATGCATAAATATAGATGTATTAAGAATCATTTATAAAAACGGGAGAGGTTCGACAAGGAAAGTATTTTAGATGTCCACTGTGTCTTTACATCGCTACAAAAAAGCGATGCTGTGTGATTTTTGTGCTGTTAACAGATCTCTTTCTCACCAGTGTGTCAGCGTCCATGAACACACACTTGCTGTACTGCGTGAGCGTCCAGCAGTGCAGTTTGGTGAACGTCACCCCCAGGTCCGGACGCTTCATCAAGGCCAGATGAGCTGAATCGCCTGAATCCATCACGTCCACCACATGCACCTCATCAAAAATGGAGCGCAGCACATCTCTATAGAGCAGACGGTATGATTTACATCAGCATGTATGTCACCTCTTATCCTCCGGTAATGGCTAAACAGCTGATGCTGTTACCTGCAAGGTTCTGCAACATGTGGCCCCAGGAGAGCGACCAGCTTCCTGGTTGTGTTGTGGCTTCGTAACGACTGGCCGAGGACCATCGCTCCCTTTGCATAGCTGTCATTTGTGGCCAGTGTCACAAAAGCTTGGTCTGTTTGCGGAAACACACACATTCACACACTGAGCCAGAAGAATAATGCATCATAACATTACTGCCATAACTTCATGTGTCTTTCAGTCACAGGCTAAAAACCTTTATACATTCCGACAACTTTAAATATGAATGTCTTAAATACCATCTTTCTGCAAAAAGACAGGAAAAAGTGCATTTTATTATGTCAACAGCAGGTCCCACAGGTCTTTTCATTCAACTCTGTATTAAATTAAGTAAGAGGTGAATTATCCTTGAAGACTGCATTTGATTTCGTTTTATTTTCTTTAGTTTCTTAAGATTCTGTTTTCTTTTCTAGTGAAGGTCTTAAAAAGCTGCCCTTTTCACCACAACATTTACATAAATGTATATAAAAAGTATTACTACTAATAGAAGCAGTATTACTAATTTTGAGTAAAACCAACTAAACCCGTGGCCCCGCTTCCACTTTTCCTCTAAAGCAGACATCAATTGAAGCCTCGTGATCCCCTTCTGCAATTACGGTAATCTCCTGCATCAATACAATTCATTTTATCGAATTTTATTCATCCTAAAACCAGTTATGCAAAGGTCAGCGTATGATGAGTCCCCAGAGCATAAATTAGCAACCACAGGGGGCAAGCAATGTTGAGTGAAAGCAGGCCTGGAGCCAGCTGAGAGGATTTATCAAGCTGAACGTATGAGCTGTCGGGGGGCTTCTGGGAAACCTGACCCACGTGGCTGTGTTGTACAGTTGCTAAGATCTTATTCAAGGAATTCTAAGCGGACCGTTTCAGCGTACAAGAAAGGCTTCTCTCACCTACAGGGCAGTACAGGAAGCATGTGTTGCATTCTCACAGGGTTAAACGTGGCTACATGAAGCCTCGTGACCTCTAGGTATGATGTGAAGAATGATGATTACCCAGTTTAAAATGTGAAGTCTGCTCAAAAGCCTCCTTTGTTTACGAAAATCACATTTGTCTTTATTTGATATAAACTAATCAGAACTGTTGCAATCAATGTGCAATGATTATATTAGATGAAAACAAGTATGGCTTTCTTTTAAAGAACACGTGATCCCAAACCTTTGTGTTGCAGTTGCTTGTTTCATGAGTAACCTGTACTGGAAGCAGACAATTGCATACATATGTAACTGTTAGTGTTACAGCGTTGTAGACACATTATAATAGTAATTATATAACTATATGGTCCATATTAAATCGTTAGCCACATTAAGACTTTCACAGTAACACACAGAGAGACACTAAAGATGTTTTAGTGTACTGACAGGAAGGGGGAGGGGACAACTTCAAGCCTACATACAGCAGCGCACGTCCACATTGAGAGTTTACTGAACAAAAACAGGAAGTTAACAATGTATTTCTAAAAAAATAAAAGCACACGTAAGACGCTGAGGGATAAAGTCTAGAGAAAATTGTTACCTGTTTGAGTAGAGGGGAGGGCAAGCCACAAAACAATCAAAAACAGACTGAAAAGGTTTACATGGCTTCTAAACAAGTATTACATTTTGCTGTGTACACTGATTTTTACTGAAAAAGAAAAAAATATATCTAAAAATGCAAAAAGCAGATTTGCAGATCAAAACTTGTTCAGTTTTCTGGCTACAGACTAATCACTGCATGGATACAGCCTCATGCTTCTCTACAAGTAGTACAAACTTTTGGTGAAAAATAAAATACCAAAACCACTCACATTTGTGTACTGTAAATATGCCACCAGCTGGCTTTCAGTCTTGGTCCTAGGCTCATCCAACTCACTACAGTTTGTATGATGAAATCATGACTGTGGGTGAGGTAACACAGGGAATTCCCACATGCCCACCCTGTGAAATCCAGATGTACTTATCAGCTATGGGCATACTAATTAACACTAATAAACATCCATGTAAGACTAAAAATGTTAGCTGATAGGGAGCAACTACAGTAGTAATTGTATTTAAGGCTATATTTTGGCCTAAGCACCTCACGTCTCAGTATTCAATATCCTTATATTTATGCTGCTTGTATATATAAAGTAGCATAACTTTGAAGACCGATTGTTTTTAAATGACTTTAAAATTACAGTAAAGCAATAATGAAAAAACTGCAGGTGTCTCATCTTTTTAAGAATCTTTTTCATGCCTTACTGAGGCATATGTACAAATTTATGTGGCGTTTGAATGAGTCAATAAATTCAACAGTAAGAGCTTTGACTGTTATAACACGTGGTGACACAAGGTACACCTCCAGCTTTTCTAAACATTGTAACAAGTGTCTGCATATTTTGTGATAGTTTCGTCTGCTTGAAGTTTTTGGGTTGTTTTTTTTTTATATGGACTAATGTTGCCTGAAATAAAGGTGAATTAAAAAAAACAAAACAAAAAAAACAACGGTTTGTTAGATCCGTAGTTGTTTGTACGTTTGTACCTTTTTAATAGCTTAAAACTACTCCGATTTTCAAGCTTGTGACCGGATGTGCTGCTTTTCACCATCGCCAGCTTTACTTTGGTCCAAACCTCTGCAGAAACTCATCAAAGCAACTCTATGACTACACAACCATTTAAACCACTAAATCGCAACTTCTGTGCACCACATGAGCGTGGGAGCGGGTGCTGCAGCCGCTCTAAAGCCCCAGAGTTTGACAAGTACGCGTTGATATTTCGGAGGATGCATGCAGTTCGTGCAGCTCGGTCCGGTGCGGTGCGACCGGGTTCCGATGTCAGTGTAACGTCTGAGAGAGTCGGCCAGTCTCTTACCCGACATGGTGTGCTTAGGAGGGTCCACCCAAGGGTCGGGGGTCGTGATGGGGAAGACGAAGGGCTTGCACTGCGAAGGGCAGAAGCGCAGCAGCTGGGAGCAGTCCAACACAGGAATTAAGCCCCACATTTTCCGGGTCATGTGACCACTGACAGCCGACACGGCCCCCTACGTTTGTCTCTTTCCGTAAAACTTTATTTGTGATGGTCTTCATCACAGACAAAAGCCATCTTTTTAAAAAAAAATTTAATCAGTTAGGTAATTAAGGATGGGTAAAAGCACAGCGCCATTAGTATAATAATAGATTACAAATTAACAGATTTATAAAGACTAGATTAGTGTGTACTTAACAGTATTCTGTTGTTTAGGTCATTATAAGGGTCATATTTTATTTATTTTTTGTAAAAAATAAAAAATGTATGAACTATTAATATAATAATAATTAAACGGAAATGCGTTATTAGCTAAAGTACGAATACAGCACGCTGATTTTTCCCGATGTTGAGTTACGTTTTTTCATATGTTTAAAATAAAAATGAAATTAGAGAATTTATTTTAAAAAATCTAATTAAATGGGGCAAACTATATAAAGTTTACAGTCTGACATTAATATGCAAAGGTGAAAGTGTAAGTCCCAAACATCATAAGTATTCCCATACGTCATCCTAAAGGAAAATTTAGCGTCCGTTGTCATGGAAACGATGACGCTGCAGTCCTTCGGGTGATGTCCATGGGAGATTATCACTTTCACTTTGACATAATGACATCATTATACTCCGCTGCTGAGGTTATAAATGGGAACTGGCTTTAGTCGAAGGGCAGAGTTATTTCTGCCGAAATTCTCAGAGACAAAACTTCTGCTGAAATCAGGAAGTAACAGGGTTTTTTGTTTGTTTGTTTGTTTGTTTGTTTGTTTGTTTGTTTGTTTGTTTGTTTTAGGTATTTTGTTCTGCGGCCTAAAACGTAGATGGCTGTGAATTTAAGCATGCATTAATTTTACAAATTTTGTGTGAAATTATGTATTTTGTGTGTTATAAGAGTATTCACCTATATATGCATTATAATATGCAATAATTATACCACTACACATTTCTTTTGTTGCTTTTAAATAAGTATATAAATATGTTCTCCACTTCAGTAATGTAGACAGACATTTGCTTTGCTGGAATTCTACCCTTGAGTATGACATGCTTAAGACTACATTCAAATGAGCAACATTTCATTACATTTCATACCTTAATAGAGTAACATTCATTAAGTTTATATATATACACACACTCCAATGTTGCCAGGGCTAATCATGCCTGATTGAAAAAAATTGACTCTTAAGTACATTTTGGTGATAATAGTTTCCAACGCACAGCTTTTACAGGAAAGAATATCTGCAGTAATCTTACCTTTGCAGGAAAATGATCTGGTGATTTATATAATTCAAGGACACAGGGTAGTAACACAACCTAATTTAGGCTAAACTTTAATTTTCCTTACAGTCCTGACTACAATCCAGATTTTGTTCGAGGCCTAATAAGCCTTAGATTGTCAGAAATGACCTTCGCTATATTTTTCCACCTTTCCAACAAAAACAGGGAGATCCTTTGTACTTCAGCTGCTAAGTAGTTGAGTGTCAGATGTCAGATCATTAAGACTGAAGCAGCACTGCCTCACCGTGGTAGCACATCCTCATTACAATTGAACAAAGCATGAAAGGCTCAAACGCACACCTTTAATGGCGCTACTACTGTAAAATGAACAAAGTAAAGTTTCTGTCTGTTTTGATGCAATACATGTCTGCAATACATTTAATAAACATAAGTAACTGTCTCTTCTTTGTACTGGCTTTTGGGTGTTTTTCTAAATTTCCTTTATTCTTGAGTGCTTGAAAAAAAGACAGCTGGACAGATTTTTGGCTGATGAAGACCGTCCACCTCCCTTTCACCTTCTAAGAGGCTTCTTCATTTCTAAAAACAGCTGATGCAGAGTCTCAGGCATTAGTGCAGTTGGCCCGTTAGAGGTGGTCCTGAGGGTTGCTGACCCACAACTAGTCACATGAGCTGTAACACGAGCCAAAGCCTTAAAACAAGTGTGGGTCAGTGACCCCCAGGACATTATCCTAGTCAGGTACAAAATGCATTCGAATGAAACTGATAGGAGGCTTAAAATATTGTTCTAAGCATGAAATACGCTGTGTGTTTCACTTGATTCTGTTTTCATGCTGGGCTTCAGTTCAAGCACCAGTAGCAGTGAACAGACCATTTAGAAAATATCCACTTAAATAACTATTTCAAGCTTTGATCAGTATGTGTTTTGCCCCACTTTAATTAAAAAACTGTTTCTGTGTACAAGAGACAATTATGGGGAGAATGGTTGCTCTAATATGTCATATAATAGTCACACAAGTCAGTAAGTTGTCTCATTAGTGATACTTTCACAGCAACACATAAAAGTTAGTTACATTAACTATTATGAGCTAATAGTCCAAACATGTAAGAGTGCAGAATGTTGACTGCCAATGCACTAATTACTGAAGGGACATTTTCAAAATTTGGCCAAAGGGACTGAACTTGTTTGATATACACATTAACATGTGATAGATTGGCAACTATTTAAAAGAAAATGATGACAAATGATTAGACAAAGTCTACAAAAAGTGAGATTTGAATCTTTTAGTATTCTGATGAGCAAAAATTTGGATTTTTATTGGATGTTGTCATGCCTGCATTCTGTGTAACAAATGAAAGTTTGATGATCTTTAATAATTTGGGGCCTTAAAATCAAGTAATAATACACACGTAGCTCTTAATATCATTAGCAAAACAATAACAGCTGCTAAAGTAAAAGCAGCCTATAAGCCGCATGCTCAAATAATGCAAATAATTTGAATTTTAAATGTACCCTGTATTATAACTCCAAGCTATTTGAGTCTCTCTGTGTACTTTTGTATATCTGTGTGGCTTTTACTCGGTTCACCTTTTTGTGTATGTGCTTTTAGATAAAGTGAATAATGCAGGAGGCCCTTGAGAAAGTCTTTGATGGCTGGTACACTTTTACACTACCAACTGAACCAATACAGCAGCTCATACGTCAGCAGCTGACAGAGGAGTGCTTACCTGAGAGTAACCGGAGAGCACATCAGAGTCACCGAGTGAAAACAGGCCGATCAAGTGTCAGAGGAAGAAAAGACTCAAAGGGGAAACAGAATGATGGACTCCTTGGTCTGTGTGGATGCAGGGAGTAAATACTGTATCTTAGTGATCAGAGATAAAAATGCATTTAGTTCATCTTAGTCAAGAAGGGAAGATTTGTACAAACTTGTCTTTGTTCTGCCTGATTATGACACCGTATAAGTCTTTTTGACTGATACGATGGGAGAAATGAGAGAAGAACAAGCTCAGAGGTAAACAAAGAGAAAAGGAGAGAAGGAAAGTTTAAAAAAAAAGGTTGCAAGGACAGAACGAAAAGGGTTAATAAAAAAAACAGAGGGTGAAAAAAAGTGGTGTGGAAAGGAGAACACGGAAGAAAGGAGTACAGAACTGACCCTCAGCAAGCTGATTTTCAACTCTGGCTTTGCTCAGGATCTTAAGCCCTTCAGCCTGCATGGGACTGGGAGTAAGCTCATTATTTTTGTTCTTTTCTCACATTATAATTACAATATGCGACAACATTCTCAAGTAGTAGTCTCAAGTGAATTTTGCTGTTAAAGAAGTGCAATTATCTCCAACGCTAGGCTCATTTGAAATGTGAAGCGAGGAACATGTTTTTAAAAATTTGCAAGTGACTGAAAACTTTTGTAAAGCTAAAAAAGCACATAGTTGAACATGATCATTAAGACTGTTCGAGTCTCACTGTTTGAGAATCTTAAAACGGTTCCCTGCATAAGTTGTGGACGTTACTGCAAGGGATCCGAATCCTTTGTCAGTGAAAACAGTTCGGGGCTAAATCAAAAGTGATCCAGAATCAGTGCAGACTTCACTGAGCTGGGTCGTTTGACCTCTGACTAAATATTGGTGCTTCTTGAGACACGATTAATCCTGAATGATATTTGGAGCAACATTTGCTGTTATCCAGTTATCTTGGTCAGACAATCATTTTCTCACCCAGTGAGAGTCAGGGTGCTAAACTGGCCTACATGTATAGTCCAGACTGATAAACCAGTGGAAATATGGGGTAAGTTCAGAAAAACAGAAAAAACTGAGCCCAGCTGAAATCATGAAGCAAGTAACAATGGGAAGATTTGGCTTTCAGAACGCTTACAGTGTTGGTAGCACGATAAACACCTGTCCCAACTTTTTTGAAATGTCCTTTGACAAGACAATCAATTTTCTCAGTTTTAATGTAATGTATTTTGCAAATTATTTCATTCTTTTTTTATATGTCATTTTTACACAGTGTCTCGGGATGAAAAAACATTGACTGGACTATAGCAGGTCAAATTTCACAAATTCTGCAGCAATTTATTAATATATAAAAAAGAAAGCAGAGATCTAAAAAGATAAAGATAACGATAAAGGTGGAATAAAGTTGGAATGAGGAGGAGGTAGCAGTGTTGTTGTGACGTGGACCATTTTAATCTAGGTGATGCAGTTGGCTCCGTGCCTCAGGTTACAAGGCATTGTGTGGCAATGAAGCAAGCTGTGCAAGCCTCATGTTTTAAACATGTCTAACTTAAATGCTAAATGTGATCCTGCCTCCTTAAAAAACAGCTGCAAATGCGAAATATAGTCAACATTAGGCACACATGTTTCACATTCTTTTCTTTTTAAACATGTGTTACAATTCAGTTCATTGTGTGGCTTCATGCTTGGTGGCTTTGTAAAATAGCCTTTGGTAATAAATATGCTGATTTGTGCAGCTGTTTCAATGTGACTAAATTTAATGTTTATCTCCTCCTTGAATCGCTACCTTATTGTGGTGGAGGGGTTTGTGTGTCCCAGGGATCCTAGGGGCTATGTTGTCTGGGGGCTTTTGCCCCCTGGTAGGGTCTCCCATGGCAAATTGGTCCTGGGTGAGGGACCAGACAAAGAGCGATTCAGAAGACCCTAATGAAAAGAAGGCTGGAAGGTGCTCCACCTGGAGACTCTGTTGTCCTGCTGGGAGACCTCAATGCTCACGTAGGTAACGACAGTCGAGACCTGGAGGGGCGTGATTGGGAGGAA